GTCAGCGGGAATGAAAAATTCGTTCTTGTAGCTGGGAATTACTTGCTCTTGTTGATGATATTACGATAATTTGCAGATTTTTGCAGTCATCTCATTTACGTATCCGTTTACAGGATTTTGCTACATTCATAGACTGGTTGAGAACCAGCAGCGATGGATCTTGTCCAGAAAGTAAAGAATCTAGTGGGCTTCGGCAAGGCCGAAGTGAAAGCCGAAGAAAAACCTCCCAAAAATATGAATGAAGTCATATCAAGATTACCTGTATGTTTCACAAACTTAGCTAGTCTTATGGATATACTTAGCACTTACAGGAGTCATTTCACAAGTATATGCAGAAAGAGTTGCCATATCGCCGCGCGTCTGCCCTGGTTTTTATCGCTATTGTACTTGGGATGGGTACACCACTCTGGTATCGTACAACTCAAACATATCGTGCACATTTCGATACGTTTTCCAAGGATATGACGATCTCTCTTAATATCCGGTGAGCTCTCTCAACATCCGGTGAGCCTATACGGTTTCTGTAATCTTTACTTTTTGAATTGTTGATTACGTAGAGGGATTAGACATTATCCGTTTGCTTTCATTTACACATTATGCAACTTTCAATTCTGTACAAAAAAGTTGGCACAGAGTTGTGATTTGCTTTTAGCTGCCAAAATTGGGTCTTTTTTGTTCTAGCTGATTTTTTTTTTGATTGAGAGGTCGCACATGGAGTGATAGCGATTGACATGTTTCAGAATAAATCTTGCAGTCACCAATGACAGTTTGAAGGAGGAAGTGAATTCTATGACGAAGGTTTTACTGGATAAACTTGCGGACAATGAAATCAAAACTCCATTGAAAATCAACTGGAGCATCAGAAATCTAGGCCTGAGGTAAATCTTTTGCGGTATCGTCAGTTTTTTAATCTTCCTGATTTTTCCATTGCAGAGACCTACATTCTGTTGAGAATGAGCGCATACCGAAGTCTAATTCTCTTGATGTTTTTGTTGCCATTGTTTCGCCGCAGCAATGGCCACATTTCTCAGCCACCAATATCTATCTCGGGCGTGGTCGTTGGGCTGCAGTTCAATATACGTCTGATAACAGCAAGCTGGAGGAGAGGCTGCAGAACCTTATTTGGGAGGCAAGGCACTCTTTCGCTTGGAGATGCTTTCTTCATTTTTGGATGTTTTTCCATAGCATCATTTCAGGTGCTTATAGATGTCCCCCATCTCAATTCCATTGTTAAGCGCGATCTTCGCGAGAAAATGCAGCCATGGCAAATAGCTGCCCTATCACCATCTCAACAGGTTTTAAGTCAGCGTTTTTTTTTCGTAATGCTGCACATTCCTTATTTAGAAGCGATTGATTTGGGACTCTGCTACACTGTCTATGGACTATATCATCCAAGTGATTCATGTACATGACAACGCGAATTCTTCGGTGATATCCTCAGGCAATATACTGCAAGTGATGAAGGTGTTTGCGAAAAGGCTTGAACCGGTCACTCATCTACAGGTGTGTCCACTCTCTTCACGTGCACATTAGATGACTGGTTATGCCTCAGTCTACTTATCCGCTTAATCGCTGTAGTTCATAAATTCAAAAAAATAGTGTCAACCCAAAGAATTGGATTAGCCCTTTTTATTCGCTTCTTGAGTTTTTTTCACATTGCTGTGGTTTTCACTCGCCCTTTCATC